CTAAGACAGTTTTAAAACTAGGTATTGGTTAAAAAAAAAGTAGATGTCTAGGTGTACATCATTAAAATACTGATTAAATATTCCATGAGCACTAGCTCACAATTGAATTAAAAAGCAAACCTTAACTTGGGATATACTACTAGATTCCTATTAAAAGTGACAAAAGCAAAGACTTTAAAATAGATGATGCTAACTGTGATGCCCTGAAATAAGAGATCAACAACAATTTTTTTTTAAATATAAAGGGGAAAATTTTCTGTTTCGCTAATCTGTACCTGCAAACATCACACCAGAACATGAATACTAAGAGCTAAAAAAAAGAATTCGACACAAAATTAGAAGTAGCTTGCTCATTTTAATTTGAGGCCTCTGGCAGACGTTAAAATACTGACACATGTTGTACCGTGTCATGTATGCATGACAAGATGCATGATATTTGGGATGAGGCATAAAATTCTTCAGATTGCAGTTACATAACTACCAGGTCTGAACCAGAACCCAGGGCTGCCTCAGCTGAGCATCAAGACTGGACAACACCAGGTCCATGTGTGGTGTTTTAAAACCCTGATTCTGGGGTTTCCCCAAAGAAACTGCTTCATCCTGCATCACTTGTGCTGAAATTGTAAATGACGTGCTATTTTCTCAAACAGGAACCTGAGATTAGAGAACCTCTCCCTGATCTCAGGTTCCCAGCAGCCTGGGCTTTTAAAAATTGTGTGCACAGCCCAGCTGCATGCGTGGTTCTTAAACCCAGGGCTACCTAGTGCCTAATCCTACAGATCAGGATTAGGCAGTTGTGTCCAGGATTCACGGGCTGCCCCATGCCCAATCCTGATGCTTAGCTGAGCATCATGAATGGGCATGGGGTAGTCCCAGGTCCTGCTTTGGAATCTGGAGCAGTCCCATGCCTGATCCTAGTGCTCAACTGAGCATTGACCTTATGTTAAATGTGGAATGTCCTTGTGGCTGATCTGCTATTTTATTAAGCCATAAATTGGCAGAATGTGTCATATTACTATATATGGTGTGATTAACAGAACGATTGCACCATAAAGCTAGTGTCTGCCAGGTCCCTGAGTAACCTGAACTGACTGTTAAACTGAACATGAAGAACTTTTGGCTGTTAGCTGAAGACTGACATTTGAAGACATGGAACTTTTTCAAACGGACTTTTTGGTAGTCAGCAATATGCTACTGAGGTTTTTTATTTCTTTCTGACTTACCAGTGCAAGTTGTTTGATAATGGATAAACATTTTAATGCTTTGGAGAGAAACTAGGAAGGACACATTAATAGACTAAAAACTACTGTCATACAACTGATGCCGTCAGATTGTAACTTTTTTTACTATACAGCATATCAAATATATAAGTTGGTTTGTTCTGGCGAAGGCAAAATTATTCTGAGATGGTTTCATCATTGCAATAGAAAAACCAAACAACTTCATACAGAGCCTTTATGATCTTTCATGTTGAATTTGTGCATATAACATTGTTTAAATACATTTTATGATTGGTAAATAATTATGTTTGATTTCTTTAATAAGCATAAATAAATGCTTGTTTGATATAAGCTTTTGGTATTTGCTAATCTTACTGAATTTTTGAAAGTTTTGCTCTGTTTTTTCAGGGAAGGTATGGATACAGATAAAGATGATCAGCATGGAAGGTACTATTTAATTATTAAAGTATACATTTCCAGGCATTTCATTAGGGATGTGAGAATTGTGGTGGTACTTACATCTGTGTAAATATTACTGAAATATTTAGGCCTCTGTATATCTAAGAGTCATTGCTTGCAGTATTATAGCTTATTGTTACAGCTATTATAGAAGGTAATATGAGCCTTAGGGGGGATACTTTAGCAAATTATCTGATTTAGAAATCAGAATTTAGAGAAAAATATGCATGTTAAAATATGCTGGTTAAGGTATTTAGTGTATACAAAAGTATTGCTTTATAAACTGTGTAAGATACCCTTGAGTAAGGCAGGCAGCCATTTAAATTTTGCAAATGACACCTATAATTTGCCATATCCCACTAATTTCAAAATTAAAGGAACTGTTTAAACAGATTTTAGAATGCCTGCTGTTTTGTGAAGGGACAGCTTTCTCTTAACTTTCTGGTACTCACCAGTAGCAATCTTGAAATTGACAGGACAATGCTAATATTATAGTGTGTGACTGAAAGAGGCTTGGAGAATTCACTGCCCACCCTCCACGTTAAGTGATTTTGTTTTGATTGCCAGAGACAATGTGCGACTTGCACTGTATTCGAAAATATGACTCTCTAATGTAACTTCCTTCCCAGCAGGTTGGAATACACAGACCAACAAGGCAGGATAAAAAATGCAAGGTGAACTATTTTATTTCTTAACAAAGTTAATAAGTTACTTAATAAGTTTAATATTAAAAAAATACTATTTCAAGTTTAGTATGTTAGACACAATTTGCACATATTGCTAGTTTTCAAACTCAGATCTGTCTTCCCATGTTTGATTTTCACATATTTTGCAGTTTGAAAGATTTGTTCTTCTATAAGCTGCATGAAATTTTATTAAACAAAAGTTAGATATTTTTATTTTCCTTAAATTGTACGATTTAACTAAGAATTCCCATTAACACGGAGTAGATATTCGGTGGCTAATTCCCTGTGCCTTGCACCAAATTATTCCACATTGTAAGTGATAATTTAATATTGCAGTGACAGCTGTGTATCATTCTAGCATTAACAGGGTGTACACTGCTAAAAATCAAAAGGCCATAGGGCATGTGCTATGAAAAAAAAATCTTTGAATTTTAAAAGTGGACTATCAACAGGCACATATGATGCCCAGCACACTCTTCTTAGGTAAAAGGGGTGCTAATGGTGTCTTCCAAAATATTTTTAATGGTAATCTACAGAATTGGCTGCGACCTGTGAAGATCCTTGCCCTATAGTCCCAAAGGAAGTGCAGGACAAAGCAGCAGGATTTGTCTCTGGGCTGCCAGATATGGCAAAAGTAAACTTCAAGGCAGAAGGAGCTACTTATCTCCTCTACATAGGAACCATGCTAACCTGAATTGGGTTGTAACATTTCCGTTAAAATAATAGCATGATTTAGATCAGTCTCTGGTCTCAACCAGTGGTGTGTCCTGCCATGGACATGTGGCATGGCAAGAGACATGACTATTGAGATTGGGGATCAGGGGTCATCCCATCACATTATTTTAATGTCTGCTGGAGCCAGAGTTATGCACATGAATAATGTTTAACCATTAGCATTTGCACAACTGCTTGTGCAAGTGCAGCCTTAAAACCATGAACAAAGGTTTCAGGATGGGACCTACAATCTATTTTAATTAAGTATCGTCTTTTCATTTGTTTTTTTCACAGTTCAGAATTTCATAACACTCTTCAATACTATTATTATTTTTATTTTTTCCTATTGTGTAGGGAAGCTCATAGTCAAATTGAAAAAAGACGTCGAGATAAAATGAACAGTTTTATTGATGAGTTGGCATCTTTGGTACCAACTTGCAATGCTATGTCCAGAAAACTAGATAAACTTACTGTACTAAGGATGGCTGTTCAGCATATGAAAACTTTACGAGGTGAGTTACAAAACTTTTTGCTTTGTCCCACATTGAACGATGAGGAGTTTAGAGCTTACAAACTGCAAGAATGATGCATGTGTCTTGGCATGATCATCACCACACTTTCCACAGAATCTCAAATCCCTCTTGGATTACTCATGCTTCTGGTACAAATTTGACACTGCTTTGACAGCATTCATTTGAGCCAATAGTGAGGACTAAAAACAGACTCTGAGACCTGGCTTATTAAAGGCAACATAAAGGTTGCAGTTAAGCTGTGCAGAAGGCAGTAAATCTAAAAACAAATTTTCTGCAGGAAAGAAAAGACAGCCACATGGCGCATATTGCAAACTGTAGGGAAGCAAAATCCATCCTCTCTAAGTCTAGGATCATTTTGACAGGACTCCATGGCTTATGAGTTGGAATAGCATCTACTGACTTTCTGTATCATTGAAATGGGCTGTTAATCTCTGGATCCACCCAACTGTTCCTCCAAGACATCCTCTTTAACCCAGTCCCTAATTGCCCATGTGGGCCAGAACAGAGGCCTCCGTGTGACACACAATTTATGCCATGCAGGACTTACATGGTCTGAAGATCTTATGCCAGCTTTGTGCCCCTGGATGAATTTCACCAATGATGCACATCTTACAAAACAGCTTTCACTAGAAAACAAGACTGCGAAAAGCTGCAAGTATGAAATGTGACAGAGTTAATGATTCTGTAGGAATGCTAACATCTGCATTTCCAGATTTGTATGGTTAACTTTCATATCATCTATGCAAGTATTTAACATTTAACCATCTCTAAGAAAAGAAAGAAAGGGAAGAAGGTTGAAGATAAACAAGTACTAATTTTGCTACAGTTCTGTAAAGTGGAAAACAGTTACATCTAGAGTACTTTTTTGTGGAATAACAGCTCCAAACTTACCCTTATATTAATGTAGACACAGAACAAAATGGTTGCGGTTTACCTTTTGAATTTTGGTTTTTGAAGATAGTTCATTGGTGTTCAGTTTCTACCTGGTTAGCTGTTTAAGTTATTCATGTACAAGATACAGACTTTTTTTTTTTAATTGGGAAAGTTCCATGTAAATTAAATGCTGTGTTAACTAGATGGGGAAGCAGCTTTTTTGGCCAAACTTTCAGAGAAATCCCATTTTTCTTGAGGTGGTATGGGCCTCTTCTACTCTAAAAAAGAATATCGGAGATAATTAATGGCTGCTTAAAGCAAAATTAGAGGCTCTCCTAGAACCCAGCTATCATGTTTGTTGCTGTTACATACTAGGGTTATGGTAGATCTCTGATGATTTAAGAAGTTGGCCTGCTTTTTTTTCCTGTGGATAGGGTGAAAAATAGTCTTTTGGCATTCAGAAATCAGTTAGGAATCCCAATATTGATTTGACTGCAGAAGTGTTGGAGTTCACACACACACATACACAATCAGAATACTTAAGTAATGTATATTATTGCAGTAAATGTGGCAATCTCTCCTATCTTATGAAATTAGTTATCTGTTATACACACTCTGTGTTTCCCTGTTGAGTTTTTAATTGCCATATGTTTGGATAATAGGGGTAAGTGCAAGGGTGTTGTGAAATGGTTATTAAGAACTGAGAGGGAAAGGTAAAATGATGACACAGATAATCCTTGTATAAGCAGCTTTCAAGGAGTCATGGTAAGTGGTTGGCTCCAGTCACCCTAGAACAGGGGTGGGCAAAATGCAGCCCGGGGGCCGGATGCAGCCTGCCAGGCCATTATATTCGGCTTGCGGGGCCCCTAAAGAATTTAGAAAATTAATATTTATCTGCCCTGGGCTGCCCGTCGTGCAGCCCTCGATGGCTTGCCAGAACTCAGTAAACAGCCCTCTGCCCAAAATAATTGCCTGCCCCTGCCCTAGAATGTAGGGTCCTTTCCAAGGCTAAACTACAGTTCAGAGGAGACCAGAAGTTTCAGGCATTACCAAGGGTGGGGTCTGGCTCAGCTAACAGAGGCTGGTAGGCTGGGGAGATTTGCTCAAAGAGAGCAAGCAGTAGACGCTTTTTCTTCCAACTCGGACATGGCATGTATGAGACCTTTGTGGGGTATGGATAAAAAGTTAAGCTTTAGGTATAAAAACATGCCTGCAGAACACTATCTTATATAGTTTCTTTTACCCCTTGACCCTGGACGCATCTACACAAGATGTTTTACTCGAAATAAGAGCAAATTACTGCGTAGTAAGCATCAACATGTACATGTGCAGACGCTTACTGCGCAGTAATGTGCTCTAATAGCAAGTAAATTTGCTACCTGTAAATTCAAGTTACTGCACAGTACAGCAGGTATAGACAGCTGATAGGGAGCGAACTTTTTCCCAGTCAGGTAGGTAGCAGGGGGCAGGAGATTTCTCCCTGACTCTGGGAGCTGCTCCCACTCTACGATCATGGAGCTGGGGCTGGGAATAGGCTGGGAGTTTGTTACCAGCCTCAGCTCCATGATCACAGTCATGGAATGAGGGCTGGGAACTCCCTGCAGGCTGGGATCCGTCCCTGAATGGGACAGTTTGCGGGCTGCACAGGGAGGTCTGTGCGTGCAGCCTGGAGGTGGCTGGGGACTGTCCTGTTTCGGGCAGGCCCCAGCCAGCTCCAGGCTGCACATGCAGACTTTCCCACACAGCCTGAGGCTGGCTGGGAACTGTCCTGGTCAGGGCCAGATCCTAGCCCTGTGCCCTGATCAGGCGATTGAGGCACAGGGCTTGGAATCAGCTGCAGTTGGGGAAAGGGGAGATGGCATTGTCCCTGTCCTTGCAGCAGGCAGCTCCCAGGAGTAGGAAGTAATCTCCCAGCCCCTGCCAGAAGACAGCGGTCTCCTGGCCCCATGATCCCTGCCAGCTCCTAGAGCTCCCCCTGGCTGCCACAGGGGCCAGGGTAGGGCCGGAATGGGCAGGAGCAGACTGCTGCCAGGAGCAGCAAATCTGCTTCTTCATCCCTGCACATGTAAACACCTGGCCAGGGTGAGTTTACTCTAGAGTAATTTTCTCATGGGTAGACGTACCTCCTGGGTACTTTGTACCACTGCATGAAGAAATAAATGGCACTTTGTTTAGAGAACCTGTTCTTCAGTCACTTTTTTATCAGCTAATGTCATGGGCTCCCAAAAATAGATAGTTATAATCTGCAGTTGTCGGGTTTAATACCCAGGAGACCCTAACCTGTGTTCTTGTTTAAGAGTGGGTTAGTTGTGGGTTTCCTCTGTAGGAGTGAGAGAAACTTAGGCCTGACACCTGTGAGAGTGCATGCAGAGACACCTTGAAAAGGGTTAGTGGTAAAGTTAGCACAGTATACATGGCACTGAATTTATGAAAGCATCCTCCAATTACCAAGTACGTAGGGTAGAAAGATTCGTTATCTCGTAAATTGCTGTTATCATCTCTCAGCTTGCTAAAGGATCCAAAATCCTGTCTATTTTTAATCAGTAAGCCTGTCATTGTCTAGTTCAGGGGTGGGCAAAATGTGGCCCAGGGGCTGAAGGTGGCCCACCAGGCCATTCTATCCGGCCTGCAGGGCCCCTAAAAAATTTAGAAAATTAATATTCATCTGCCCTGGGCTGCCTGTCATGTGGCCCTCAATGGTTTGTCAAAACTCAGTAAGCAGCCCTCTGCCCAAAATAACTGCCTGCCCCTGTTCTAGTTGCTTCCCAGGTTACCCATGTAACTCAATTTTGCCTTTCCAAAGTGAATATCATCTGAAGGATTACTTTTGGAAAAGATATAGCATGCATTAGCATCATTGGAAGCTGCCTCACATACAGAGCTAGTGATACAGCCTCAAAGCTTGTCCTTTGCCTCTGCTGGATGCTTCCAGATAATGCCATAGTAATGGTCAGTTTTGTGAAATGAACACATCCTCTATTAAATGGTTTGCAATTCCTAATTCATTTCATGTAAGTCACTACATAGAAATTAGATAGTCATAACTTTGAGTCATAGTTGACCATGTCTTAGGTCCAAGAAATAATTCAGAACATCACTATAATTTTTCAATGTTCCTCTAATATAGAGAGCGGACTTGGATAGGACACATTTGAAAAACCTTTTTTAGGAGGAGGAACATTCTTATTTTTTAAAGGATATTCAGTGTTTAAAACTGCTGTGTGTTTGTTCTTTTTTATGTTTTCTTGCCGGTGTGCATTCTTTTCCAAGTTGTCCTCATCAGAGTTCCACTTGATATAAAAAATAGTTGAAGCTAAAACATGTCTGAAAAAAATACAAGTGCACCACAAAATACTGACAAAGAAAAGTTTGTAAAATTGTGCTGTCAAAGGATGTGCATTATCAAGTATAAGTGGTCTGTTAACTTTCTTTTTCTTTTAAGGTGCCACAAATCCATATACAGAAGCAAACTACAAACCTGCTTTTCTATCAGACGATGAATTAAAACATCTTATTCTCAGGGTATGTTTTAAATTTTAAAAGCAAAATTTAAAATTTGCGGTGTGGGGATTTTAAAAATCTCTTTGAATTCAATATTTGTGGAAAGACCTGAATTGTCTTTAGCAAGATAGGGAGCAGCCTGAGACACAAAGATGATGATGAAATCATGCAGCTGCACTTGAAATCAGTGAAACCTGAAGCTGCTTAACACCTTTTTCAAACTAGAGGTTTCAAGATGGTCACCTGAAGACTGATGCACTGAAATTTAGTGGCCCTTTAAAATACATTTCAGCTTTAAAAATTAACTGACTAGGCTTGCAGTGTTTTAGAGATTTCTTTTAAATCACCCAGTGCAGGATACGCATTAAGTTTATGCAGTACTGGAACAGCTCAGATTGGCATAAAGTTACAAAGTTATGACCATATCCCACGTGTACAGGTGTTCATGTTCTGTTGAATTAAGTGAAACAATGCATGTGCCAGAAATACACAGGTATATAAGTATCTGCAGGATCTGGGCTATACTTGATTTTCAAGAGAAGTAAAACATATTTAATATGGAATAAATATAGTTCAAATATAAGCTTATTTATTGATTCTTTTAAATGCATGTAGTATTATTCAATAAGAAATGGGCTTTTTCTGTTAATAAATTACCTTTTAAATTCTTGGCATTGATAAGGAAAAACAATGCCAAAAATCTTCAAATTACATAGAGTCCAAGATTTTATCATAACTTCATGTCTTTCATTCTGATTCAGTTATTTCTATAACTTCAAGTAGATCAGTACTAACATAGAAATCCTACTGTACCTCCCAAAGTGCAACTAAAAGTTAAAAAGTTGTAATAAAGTTTTTTGATTTGGTAATTTCCATATCTTTTCTAATTAGGCAGCAGATGGATTTCTTTTTGTTGTGGGCTGTGACAGAGGGAAGATATTGTTTGTATCAGAATCTGTCTTCAAGATCCTCAACTACAGTCAGGTATTCTTCATTGTGATAACTGTGGACAGACCTTAAGAAACTGAATTTTTTTTTTATTTATATATCCAAACTTGGGGGCATTTATCTGAATTACAATAACAGTCTAACTTATATAAGAAATTTAGTACTACCTCTTTTCTTTTGGAAAAACATCTTCCTTTGGTTGGACTGATTCTGGCTTTAGCTGGACCCAGGAAAAGCTGAGGTGCCCTTGAGCTATTTTGCAACTTAGAAATCAAGTTGAATTACATTGGAGTAACATTATCAAATGTTCAAGTAAAGCCTTGGAGTAATGTTATCAAACATGCATACCTGTGTTAGGCTTCTGATAGGTTTTGAAAATGGGGCTTGTTGCCCTTTTGGAAATGTTCCCTTTGTTCTCTACTTGTTTACATACAGGATTGCTGTTAACACTGGCCACGTACAGGTGTTACGTTTCTATTGAGAGAACCGTTGTTGTTTTGGTAGAAATGACAAACTTACAAGTGTTCACTCAGCTTATCCAAAGGAAAACATATCCGTCCTAGGAAAAAGATCTTCCAGCTGTCAACCTGGAAGATCTTTTTCTCTTGCAAGAGTGAATGCTTGTACACTCCCCTCCCAGTCTGGTCAGAGAGCAAAGTGAAAAAGTGGGCCAGTGCTCCCCACACTTCCCCAGACTGGGGACTGCCTGATTGGTGGAATGGCTGGGGAGGGCAGTACCATGCTGCTCCAGTCCTCTCTGGATCAGTGCAGGAGACTGGAACAGGAGGGCAAAGGCCTCTACCTGCTTTCCTGACTGGGATTCCTGGTCTGAAGTACGGGGGGGTGGGGCCATGCTGTTCAGTTCACTTAGCTCATGGTGCCCAGGAGCCAGTCAAAGGAGCAGTCACTCTTTGCTGTCCCACCGTCTCCCCAGTCTGGTGAAAATGGGGGTAGGGGGTGGCTGCAGGATGGACATTTATATGTTCCCTCTCCCAGAAAGATTTCTACTTGTGGAAATTTCTCAGGAGTTTCCACTGGTAGAAATAAACACCTGTTTGTGGCCACTGTAGCAGGTAACACAAATAATAATCTTTAAAATCAGTTTTCTAACAGATTTATGTGCTTGAGTTCTGCAGTGGCTGATTGGGGAGCAGAAAATACTAGTATAAAAAGGAGTGCTTTCTCTAATAGATGACGAAGTCAATGAAAGTAGAAATTTCTTCTATGCATCCATCTATTAACATAAGGCAAAAAGAACCGGCACTAGGCATGCTAAATGCAGGTTTAATGTATATGTAACATGAGGCTTAATTTTTAACAAAGGCTTATCTGATCTTCAGTTAACAGATCTGTAAAAAGAAACTTCTACTTCCCTTTACCGATTTTTAACTCATGCATTTATTTAATGTTTGCAGAATGATTTGATTGGGCAGAGTTTATTTGACTACCTTCATCCTAAAGATATTGCCAAAGTTAAAGAGCAGCTCTCTTCTTCTGATGCTGCACCCCGAGAGAGGCTCATAGATGCAAAAAGTGCGTATATATTTCTTTGGAATTGTTAGGGTACCTGGACTAACTTTTTAGTATTTCTTTTTATTATCCAGATAATGAAAAAGTGGTTAATATTATCACTTCTGCCATGTCTTCTAACTGAGGATCTAACTATTAACAAAGTTAAAAAAATACATATTGTAAACTTGTATTATACCCATTTTAGAAACCAAGACATTGAACTACAGACAGGGCAGGTGTCTGTCTTAAAGCTGTACAATATTTGATGGAGCTAGGAATAGGATTCTGTCTTGTACAGTTAGCCACAAGACCATTTTTGCACAGTTATTATAGGTACAGGTCACTTTATTAATTCTAACAGATTTTTCAAAGGGTTTTGAAAAATGTGATGCTTGGGCAGCTGTTAACCTGAATGCCTGTTTTAACAGATTTTGCAGCTAGAAAGATCCAAATGACATTCAGCTTAAATCTTCCCAAGTTACAAGTGTGCAACGCCAAAATTGCACTTCTAACTTCTGGATCCTTTTTTATGGGAATGCCAGCAACATAGAATATAATATGATCTAATGGGAAAAATCAGTTCTAGGTGCCATTGAATTACTATGAATTACCCAAGCTCACTGAGAGGAGACTGAAGATTTTAAACTCAAATGCTATTTTAATGGTCATCTTTTAGTTCATTTTAATTTAAAAAAAAAAAAAAGCTTCCTGATTTTAATTTTTCACTTGGTGCAGCTGGACTTCCAGTTAAAACTGATATAACACCTGGGCCATCACGGCTATGTTCTGGAGCAAGACGTTCCTTCTTTTGTAGAATGAAGTGCAACAGGCCTTCAGTGAAAGTAGAAGACAAAGATTTTCCCTCCACCTGTTCCAAGAAGAAAGGTAATGTTTGAACATCTTATGAAGTTAAAAACAGACCTTTAATTTTAAAGAATTCCCTGTATTGAAGATATTCTTCATTGTAGCAGTTGGATAAAGAGTTTTAAGTTTATTGCTTCCTGCTCTCTTCAAACTTTTCCAAAAAGAAGCTCTTCTATTGTGGCATGCTGAAAAAGAAATAGTGTTATTGGACAAGACTAGCTTGTGCAGTCTTTGCAACAGTTGTGGTGAAAACTAATGCATGCTTTGTTGAACGGCACTTGTCCTTACGCTCCTAAGTCTGAAAATAAGAATGGAACTTGGATGCTTAAGTCACTTAGGCCAGGTGCTGTTTCCACTTACATGGCTACGTAAGTGCCGTGTTAACTGCGTGTCTTGGCATGTGCATATATATAGCTTGTAATTCAGCATAGCTACGCTTGCTCAGCGCTTCCCTACTTAATCTGCTATGCTATGGCCATGTAGCTATCCCGGGGAAAATAGAATTTCATGAAACACCAGGCAAGTCCTAAAACTTGAAGAGAAATCACTAGTACATTTTCATTTGAGGAAGTGGTGGTCCTCATGGTCCAATAGCCTAGTAGTTAGGGCATGTGCAAAAGTGAGAAACCTAGTTTTTAGCCCCCAACCTTGCTTACCCAGAGAGGGTTTGAACCTGTCTCCTGCTTCCTAGCATTGTTCTAAACACCAAGCCACCATCACCTCTTCTGTTGAAGTGGGCCTCCTGGGAAGACAAAAGTAGAAGATATATGTGGCCAAGAGGCATGGAAGCTCAATGAGACGTCTGCTACCCTGGACGGGATTATATTAATTTATTTTACCCAACATATATTAAATGTATTGTGCAGTGGGCCACCTTCAGAGGGAAGGCTGGAGCACATTCAGAGCAATGCTTTACCCATGGCCCATGCTAAAATGTAGCATCGTAAAATATATTCACAAGTGGTCTGAAAATTTAGGGGAACTCACCTCAAAATATTCTTGGTGGACAAGTCAGTTATGCCAGAATCTGGCTTGGTTCCCTGAGACTCCCCTTAGAGTAGGGCGAGTAATTTAGAGTGCTTTCTCAGCTACAACTTCAAGAGCTTCCAGAAATTCTTCCCTCAAGGCAACTTATGAGAAGCATGGGAGGGAGAGAGAGAAGAAACACTGAAGAGGGCAAGAAGGCAGATAAGCCACTCCCAAATTCTCTTTAAAGTATAGATTGCATTCCTAGTCCCACTGTAAGAATCAGGAGATCCCACATCCCAGGATGCATTCTGCAAGAGCTCCCAAAGAATAAGGTTGCTAGTATTTCTGTAATGAGGCAGAAGTTTTAAGGGTGCATTTAGCATGCAAAAGTGCCCTCCAGTTGGCAATTCTACAATATTTTTATAACCAGTCGCACCAAGATTTCTCAAAAGGTTTCAAAGGCTCTTCCTGTTGACAACAAAACCAGCTCCATCATGGGGGTCTCAATTTAGTGCTGTCATCCCTAGTGAAATCTCCGTTTGATTCATTAGACACATTTATCTCTCCATGAGAGTTTCCTTCCTTACAACAATAACATCTGTTAGGCAGTTTGGGCAGCTCAGGACTCTTTTGTCATCAGGACAAGTCTCTCTTGGATTGCTCCTAATTTTTTTATTCAACGAAGTTTCATTTTACAGTTTCATACTAACCCATGTTATTCTGTTAGGGTAGAGTGTAGGGAGGAAAGAGGTTCCTTCATCCAAAGCCTTGTGTACATAACTGATCTCTTCAAACCAATCCCATAAGTTGTTTCTTTTGCTGAAAGAATGAAGTGTGGTTTTTATGTACAATTAATTAATCTGAAGGCCATATCCAACTCTGCCGCTTCAGCTCCAACCATTATCAAAACTCATTTAAGTAAGGCCTAATCTGCTCTCTGTGGCCTTCCTAAAAAATATCCCCTTGATTGGATATTGTAGGATGGGGACATGGTTGCTTGCAGACATTTAAAAAAACCAAAAAAAAACCACACCGCGCTTTACCAGAAGTAGCAGTAAATTACTTCAACCTGGCTCTGCAACATCCATAAAGATCGGGTGCTTCAGTGGGGTTTTCTGGGCTCTTTTAGCTAAAACTGATTTCAATTGGCTATTAGGTAAAAGTGCCAAAAAGCCCCACTAAAGCGCCCAATCTTTACAGACATTAGACAAGCCAGGTTGAAGTAACACACTGCCTCTTTTGGGCATGTGTGGGGCTTGGCGCAAGAACACGCCAAGTTTAAAATAAAGTGCCAGTTTTGGGGTTGGTTTGTTTTTTTATGTCAGCAAGCACCCTTTGTTCCTTTTCAAGGCAAATTTGGATAATGTTGCTGTCAGTTTTTCAGCAAGATTCCCAGCACCCACTTCCTATCTAGTATGCTGGCTGGGAATATCCCATAGGAGGTGCCAGTCTGGGAAAACAATAAAACAGTAACGGTCACTTGCCACTTCAGCTACTGGAATTCTTAAATTTGTGTTGTCCTTGTGTGCCTTCCACAATCAGTTCTTCTCCTACTCTGCTTTGGACTCATGTGCTACATCATGATAGAATGTGTATGAGAAGGGGGAGAATAAATAGTTGGTACCACACAATCCTTTACCCCTGCAGTTTAGCACCTGAGGATGTGTGGGGCATGAACAGACTCTGATGGCAAAATCTTCAATTTGGGGAGCACATATTGCTCCAGGCTGGAATGCACACAGGGACAATACCTCTTGAAGTATTTGGTTTCAGACATGGAAAAGAAAGGTCACTCACCAAGTTATGAGCTAAGAATTATTAGTGGGAAAAATCTAGTTTGGCTTTTTAAAAATCCAGGACTTAGAGTGGTAAAACATGAATGGCTTTAATATTACCACTGGTTTGGAAGGTGTCATGTTCACACTAAGCATTTGACCCTTCTCTCACATGTAGTATGCATTTGTGTATGGGTTGGCAAGCCTGGTTTCCAAAATGAGACAAACACTGTATGTTAGCAAGCTTGATTGACAGCTGAATTTCTTTGAAGGCAATGCTGACACTGTAAACCTTCTTTTCTTTTATAGCAGACCGTAAAAGCTTTTGCACTATCCATAGCACAGGATATTTAAAAAGCTGGCCACCAACAAAAATGGGACTAGATGAAGATAATGAGCCTGATAACGAAGGTTGTAACTTAAGCTGTCTTGTTGCAATTGGACGGTTGCATCCTCATGTAGTTCCACAACCAGTCAATGGTGAGATCAGGGTTAAACCTACAGAATATGTTTCTCGACATGCAATAGATGGGAAATTTGTTTTTGTAGATCAGAGGTAAGAATCATTTTGATAATTTTGATAACTAGAATAGTCTAATGCTGATATTTATTACGATGCTGAAATTTTATTACACGTGATTAAATTTATTCAAGACAGCCATAATCATATGCAAATAAAATAGTAGATCACAATTCTGCTAGTTTACTTCATTACTGGCACTCAATTACAAACTATTTGGGTCTCAAGATAATTCCAGTGGGATTAAGTTTAAACTATTAATGCTCATTTATCAGTTGGTAGTTTCTAATAATGTAACTAGAACAAAATGCTGGTGTATTAGTTTTAAACTGTAGTGTTTATATTTAATTAGGTTGGAAGAATCTACCTTTTATCTGCAGATCTCAAGATGAAATGACTTCTATTCACATTCAAGTTGCAACATTTTTTTTAAAAGATTTTTTGAATGTTAAATTTTTCTGAACATGCTGGATAGAAGGTTCTGTGTGAACTACTATATGTGCCCAAATCCAAGACAATTTTTGAGTTTAAGATGAACACGCATTATTTAGATTATATACATGGAAAATTATACATTTGTTGTTATTTTCCATGGACAGGATCTAATTAATGGAAGGTCATCTTAAATTTGCCCCCCTTTCCACTGCTGTGGCAGGGGAAGCAGCAGTGGAGTCTGAGGGGCCAGACCCTTACCCCACATCCCCTCCACATGCCTACCCCCTGCCACCTGCCTCTCCATGCCTATGCCTGCCCCCACACTCCCTGCTTCCCCAACCCCTTGTACCCTGTGCCTGAGCCTGCTCACCACTATTCACTGCCCACCCCATCTCCCTTGCCTTCTGCTGCAGCTCTGCTCCTCTGGGGCAGTCAGCAGCAGGGTGACCTTAGTCCAGCCCCTGCTTCCTTCATGCCCTGCTCCCTCCTGCAGCCTTCCTCCTGTCTTCTGTTGCAGCTCTGCTCTGGCTTCAGGGCACTCAGCAGCAGTGGTGGCTCTGGCCAGGCCCCAGCCCAGCCCAGGCAGGGAGAAGAAAGAATGGCTTCTGGCTGGGCAGGGTTGGGCCTGGAGGGACAAAAGCTGGAGCAGAAGTGACAGTTGGGGGAAGGGAAGAAGGGTTGGGGGCAGGCTGGAGGGCGGGCTGCCATTCCCCACCACCCCCAGTTTCCCCCACGTACCTCCCCAACTACATGGCCCTTCCTCTGCCAAACAAGTGCTTCCAGCCCAGGGCAGGTGGTGATTCAGATCCTGCTTCAGCCTAGGAGCAAAGCCAGAGCCAAGCTACTGCCTGCCCCAGACAAGTACTCAAATCCAAGATGAGGCTTTTTTTCTCCTATGCTGTTGGGGGCAGGGGCTCATCTTGGATTTAAGTGAATATATGGTAGGTTGTAATAATAGGTTCTAAGTCAGTTTAAAGTGATTTGGTCAATTGGTGCCTTAACTGTACATACAAGGAGCTCCTTATTAAGAGAGATGATGTTGGTTGTCACAAACAGTGACTGATAAAGAATAAATTAAAAAGATCCAGGATCTCTTTTGAACCAAGGGAATGTTGAAATAACAAATGGCTGCTTCTTTTTTTAAATGCAGTCAAAGTTTCCTGGATCACTGTGGTGGTTTATTTCAGACTCTTATTTTAAAGTTTCTTTTCCTTTTTAAAAATGAAGATATAAATTCCTCAGTTTGAGAAGAAGTAGAAGTACTTCTTTGCCTTCTAAAACAGTCACTGCCTATGTCTAAAAGTAAAATAGAATGATTCAGCTGACTTTCTGATTTTTCTCAGCAAAAGCAGCTAGTAGCAATCAGAGCAAATAATATTAAAAATAATTTGTAATTAAAAATTGCTTATCTTCTGATGATAATTTTGTTTAGAAGGATCTAAAAAACGTTGAGCCGTAATCTTGTTTTCTGCAAGCTAAACGTACCTGGTACCTAAGCTTTTCTTCATACAGCTTGTGTTCCAACCCTTCATCTTGTCATTTGCTTCTGGACTGTCTCCAGTTTCTTTGTCTTTAAAAGCGTGATTCCCCAAACTGGGTATAGCAGTACAGTTGAGGCCTAACCAGTGCTGAAGAGTGCTACTATATCCTCCTGTGTCTTACTATATACAATGTTCCTGTTGTATGTAAACTATGTTTGCTTTTATTGTGATGGTTTTACATTGCTGAAGGTAGGTTAGATTTCACCTTGGAGCATAAGTTTTCATGAACTAACTCATTTCATCAAATGCTGTGAAAAGATATGCACAGAGCAGTGTATCAGACAGACAGTTATTTCATTCATGTTGAGTTTTTGTGGTCCACCCAGCCCCCAGATCCTTCTCAGTAGTCCCACTACCATATAATTAATTAATTTATCTTACATTCTGTATTTGTGTCTGTCACCGTTATATTGTGTCAACTGCTGCTGCCATGTTTTTTCTTCCTTTTATGTAGAACTTTACATTTGTATTTGTTGAATTCAATTTTTTTAAATACAGCACAGTTCTTTTCACACTCCATCTGGATCCCTTTGAATCTTAGTCCTGTTCTTCAAAGAGTCCCTCCTACTTTTGTGCTGCCTGCAGATATGATCCATACACTATTTCTGCATCCAAATGAATAAAAACATCAACTGGACTGGACCCTAAGGACCCCTTGTAGAACTTTGCTTAAGAACTTCATTTGAGACCTGTCATCTGACATTGACCCATTCATTAATTTTTGATTGTGGCTAGTCAGCTTATTAGCTATCCACCTAATGGTAATTCTCCCTAGCCCACACTTCCCCAGCCAGCTAAAGAGTATAGCATGTGGAACTGTAGGAAACCTAAGTTCAATTATGTTACGTCACTGCATTTTGTTTATCCACCAAACCAGCTACCTAGGCAAAAAAAGAAGATGGTACTCGTTTGACATGATTTATTCTGAACAAATCCGTGCTCCATATATTTGCAAATTTACTATTTCACAGCTTACTCTAGTAGATTTTCATGTATTGAAGTCAAGCCTGATCAGTCTGTAATTGTTACGTAAGTAATTTCCATGCCAGCTCAAGATGGTAGTAATGTAACAAACAGTTACTCAGTATTCAGTTTCCTGTGTTGTAAGCAGTAGTAGTAACATAGTCAATACAAAGAGAAATGGGGGACCAGCTCATCAGGTGCTTCATGTTTTGGCTCTAATCTAGCAAAGAAGTTCAGTGCATGTAAATGCTGTGAGCCAGGGCAAGTGTGTTCAGTGTCTTGCAAGAATCAGTCCTTACTCTCTAAATCCACTTGATATTCACACATCTTGTAGACATGTAGTTTTAAAAAACACTTCATTAAACCTTGGGACTGATGTAAATGCATTGAATCCATGATCTTCATGGCCTGTACAAGGGCCCTTTTATTTGAAAATGTCGTATCCAGAGATCTTATATCTCTTTCCACTATTGCAGGACCCTGCTTTGTTAATTTCGAAGTTTTCTGATGAGGAAATAAAAATGGGCTGGCTGTGACTTAATTGGTTTATGGTCCTGTCTGGGTATAATAGCAGTAGAACTGTACAGTAAAGTGCCTCTTAGTTTTACTTTAGTAAAAATGTATTCTTTTATAGCATTTTTTCATATCTTCAGTTTTCTTTTTTGTCTGTTTTTCAGGACCTTTAGTAGGGAGAAGTGAGAGACATTTTTAAGACACTAGTAGGTTTCTGGGCATTCAAAGGAGTAAAACAGCTTCTAGAGTGTTTGAGACCCTGCATGCTACCAATGGCAATGTGTGCACTAAGGTTCTCCCAGTTTCTTGTGGATTACC